TTGGGAAAAGATGCAAATCTGCCCAACTGCGCTGCTAAAAAAAACTATCTGTGCAGCCATCCCGGAACGCTCTTTGCTGGAATTCCAGGAGAACCTAAGAAGCTCGCCCTAAATCTAGGGCGTCTTGTTTTTCTTTGGCACAACCTGCCAGCTTGTTGCCCTTGTTGCACATTCCTCCAGAAGGCTGCCAAGTAGGGGGCGGCACCTGGGGGTCGCTGCTGGCGACACTGAAGCTCCGCCTGAAGGAGTGGCCCTGGCTCGGAGCACCACCTGCCGTGCCATGTGATTCTCCTCGTCATCTCTCGGCCTCACACACGAACATACATTCTCACACACACACACACACACACACACACACACACACACACCCACACACACACACACACACAAACTACATACACATTCACACCTACACCATATTCACACACTCACACGCGCGCACACACACCGGCACGTGCACTCACTGTCACCGAGGAGGTGCCGCCGCATCCGAGCAACACCTGGGCTTCTTTTCTTCCCCAGGACGCAGCCCCAGAGTAGCGATTCTCACCCAAACCTGAGACAGGCTGAGGCTCCTGCTGCTCTTTTCTACCTGCACAGTGAACGCGGCTGTGGGGCCCGCCAAGCCCGATGGGTCAGCGCGGGTCTGAAATCAGGCGATGAAACGACCCCGGGACCCCGCCCGCCCACTGCGGTAGCATCCAACCCTGGGGAAGAGAGCGTGCCGGTGATTCAGCGTCTTTCCAGCGCCCTGGTTACCACAGCAACGCACACGCACCCAGGCCAAGAGGGGCCAGCCTTGCCTACTCCCCGTACCCGGCTCCTGGCTCCCGTCCGGCGCTCTAAAGACCGGCACCCCGGCCACGCCTTCCCACCCTGCAGCCCACCGAGCTGGAGACTTTCGGGAAGCAGGGCAGCCTGCTGCCCCGCCTCCTTTCCTCACCACTCCTCTCATCACCCCGGTCCTCATGTACTCCTGGTACATTGCCATGACTGTGAAAGTACAGTGCGGTGCTTAGCACTGAGTCACCAGACCTATGAACAAGCCCCTACCAGGCTACTAACTAGCTATGGGTGGGCCTTGGACGAGTTACATCATCCCACCAAACTTCAGTTCCCCCAATGATAAAATGGAGATAATAGCACTGCATAGGATTGTAGAGGTTAAATGAGAGAATACACATTGAAAGAATAAAAGCCTGTCCAGGACTGAGAGTAAAAACCAGTTTGGGCTAAAAAAAAAAAGCAACCCTGTCAATCAAACAGGTTGAGAGGTAAGCCACAGGTAAAGCCAGAAGCACAAGTAGCAGGTAATGTTTCTCCCAGTCGTATAACAGTCTGCATCTTCTCCCAGTCTGCATCTAAAACAGGAACCAATCTCCAACTCCAAGACCCTCCTTAGAATCCTTCAAGGGAAACCCAAACCTTACAAGCCACTTCCTTCCTTTCTCATGTCACATTCCACAGTATCTTCGAAATGCCTCTCATGGCATCAATAAATCAGGTGTAGTTGACAACAGGCTTGTTCCCTGTACTCTAAGTATATATGTATGCTTAGCCCAGAATTTTAAACATTTTTTTTTTAATTTAGAGCCATTACAATACCTACTTTGATGTACATAATAAATGTAATATCTATTTTGGTACTGTATCAAAATGTCAGTCCCCTTATGGCACAAATGTAAAGTGACTCTCCAGCATTCAGTGGGCATTTGTTGAGCTCTTGCTACATGCCAGAGCTGTAATATATACTAAGGATAAAATGATGTATCCTTAGTACAGTTTTTGACTTTGCTCTTCTTTATATGCACTCATTTGTGACATCTGTTTTACTAACCTGCACAATAACAGACAAGGAAGAAAGTGGGAGAAACTAAGGTTTAGCAAGCTTTAAGTACTTTCTCCTTCAAAGCAAAGTTAGTGTTTGGCCTGTTGAAATATAAGATTCTGATTTGGCATTCCACCAAGGGAGGTAAGTTACGCAAAGCTACTAATATTGGAAAAACTTGAGATTCAAATTAAAAACTCAAAATATTGCTAATCAATAGGTTCTTAATTCTTGCATTGTTTGTGAACTATTGCCCATAAAAGCAGACTAAGAGTGGTTTGTTGCTAGGACCTGAACAGACACTTCTCCCAAGAAGACATACAAATGGCCAACAAATATATTGAAAAGATGCTCAACATCACTAGCTATTAAGGAAATGCAAATCAAAACCACAATGAGATACCATCTCACACCTGTCAGAATGGTTATAATCAACAGGACAAGTAATAACAAATGTTGGAGAGGATGTGGAGAAATAGGAACCCTCATACACTGCTGGTGGGACTGCAAATTGGTACAGCCACTATGGAAAACAGTACGGAGGTTTCTCAAAAAACTAAGAATTGATCTACCATATGATCCAGCAATCCCTCTACTGGGTATTTATCCCAAAGACTTGGAAACTCATATCCGAAAGATATATGCACACCAATGTCCACCGCAGCATTATTTACAGTGGCCAGGACATGGAAGCAACTGAAGTGCCCTACAACAGATAATTGGATATAGAAGCTGTGGTACATATATACAATGAAATATTACTCAGCTATAAGAGATGAAATACTGTCAATTGCAACAAAATGGATGGAACTTGAAATAATCATGCTAAGCAAAATAAGCCAGACAGGAAAAGTTGAAAATAAAATGATATCATTTATATGTGGGATATAAACCTAAAAGCAGCAAACAAACAGGACAAATACTCAGGGACATGAACAACAGAATAGTGGTTATCAGAAGGTAGGGGAAAGGGGGGATGTAGATGGAGTAAAAGGGATCAAATATATGGTGACAGAAAGAAATCTAACTATGGGAGGTGAAGACACAATGTAAATATATATATGTTAAAATGTACGGCTGAAACTTATTGGATTTCATTAGCCAATGTCACCATTTAAGAGGGAGGGAGGGAGGGAGGAAGGGAGGAAGGAAGGAGGTTTGTTGCTAGTCATTTACAATTTGCCTCTTAGACTGTCACTACAGTAGTCCCCCCCTTATCTGCGGTTTTAGTTACCCAAGGTCAACTAAGGTACAAAAATATTAAATAAAAAATTTCAGAAATAAACAATTCATAATTTTTAAATTGTGCACCATTCTGTGTAGCATGATGAAAAATCTCACCATCCTGCTCCATCCCATCTGGGACATGATACATTCCTTTTCCAGCACCTTCATACTGTAGCTGCTTCCCACCCATTAGTCACCTAGTAGCCATCTTGGTTACTGTCTTGGTATTGCAGTGCTTCTGTTCACGTAATCCTTATTTTACTTAATAATGGCCCCAGAGTACAAGAGTAGTGATGCTGGCAATTCGAATATGCCAAAGAGAAGCTGTAAAGTGTTTTCTTTAAATGAAAAGGTGGGTACAATACTATAAGATATTTTGAGAGAGACCACATTCACATAACTTTTATCACAGTAAATTGTTCTATTTTATTATTGGTTAATCTTTAATTGTGCCTAATTTACAAATTAAACTGAATTATAGTTATGTGTATATATAGGAGAAAACAGTACACACAGGGTTTGGTACTATCGGTGGTTTTAGGCACCCACTTGGGATCTTGAATAAGGGAGGACAACTGGATATGTAGTAGTAAATGGGAAAGTATTTCTCTTGGATGCTCTAAGTCATATAAAAAATATGATATCTCTTTCACAATCTTAAAAGAATTTGGTAATTCTTTAATACACACTACTACATATTTTACTTTTTATATTTAGCCTTTCACTCATCTAGAATTTTTTTTTTTTGTAATATGATATGAGGTGGGGGTTCTTCTAAATTATTCTTCCAAGTGAGTAACTTATGCTAAAAACCTTTCTCACGAAGATGAACTGTTGCTTCTATAATGTATGCTAAAAAATTAGCATTCTCGTTTTATTTCATTTTTTATTTTAATTTTATTGTACATATTTTTCTTAGTTAGACATTTACACCTTATTTCTGGAAATATATTTATCTTATTACTTTATATTCATTTCTGATAATTAACATATCATGAACATTTTAAAATCAAATTATCACTTCAATTTTGTTTTATTAGTTGTAAATCATATGCCTTATTTCCTTAACTGATTTTTGACTGGAGGCAACTACAAATCTAGGATCACTTTTTTTTTAATTGATTTTTAAAATTTATTTATTAGTAGTAGTAGTAGTATTTATGCCTACAGCACCTGGTCTTCCTAGGTGGTCTCCCATCCAAGTACTAACCAGGCCCCAGCATGCTTAGCTTCCAAGATCAGACATTGGGATTGTTCTGGGTGGCATGGCCATAGACCATGGACAGTGGCTCTACTGGGGCGCAAACCCAGGACCTTCTGTGTGTAAAGCAGATATGCTAATCGCTACACTATGGAATCACATCCTAATTTATTTATTTTTATTATGGTAATATTGGTTAATGTCATTTTATTTTTAATGATTAAAATTATGATTAACATAAACTCCTTTCCACTGCCATTACAAAGAGAATAATATATATAAATTCGGCTTGTCTTTTTTTAGGTGTTTTAGTTGTTAATTTTGAAACTCTGGCTGAAAATAAGATTCTGCTACTTCTCACTCTAATTATTCACACTGGCTTTCCTTTTTCTATACTGAGAATAAGATTCTGCTACTTCTCACTCTAATTATTCACACTGGCTTTCCTTTTTCTATACTGAGGAAGTCAATATATTCTTGGTAATTCTTGGCAGGGTGAGAAGCAACATGGAAAGCTATTTTCTTCCACATAAAGGTGAAGGTAGCAGCACTGGAGCCAGAAATAGGAAGGAGGTAAAAACTTCAATCCCATCATGGGCACAAAAACATACTAAAACAAACAACAAGTAAAATTCTTTATTTTTAAGTACTTTTCTCTTATGGAAAGGAAATGTTTCTTTAAAGCACATTTAAAAGTGTCCTTTACGTCTTGTAAAATAATTTTGGAGTACACAACTAAAAAGCTATTTCTCTTTACATTTATTTTCTCAGAAAAAAAGTCTAGCGCTGCTGTAAAACTGACTTTAATCATTATGAAGCTCAGCTTTGCCTCTGTTGGTGACATAACTATCAACATTAACTTTAAAAGTTAAGGAAATGCAGATAATCATGGCTTTTTCATTTAAAATTATCTGAATTTGTAAAACATTACTAAAGATGCAGTCCCAAGGACTCAGTAACCTCTAATTTTCTCTTCTGAAGACTTATGTATTAACTATTTTGGTTCCTGATTTTAAAAATAAATCAAGTATAAAAGCTAGCCCAGATGAAATCCAGCTGGCAGCTATGAGAACCTTTAATAAGTTCTGACAGCCTTTTTGCCCTTTCATTAAAAGGCCTCATATTCTGAACACAGGTATGTTTTAGTTTAAATAAACATTTAGTTCTGAAATCTAAGGACACAATCCACAAAATAAAATCACAGTAGTTTTCTCTTCTCTTATATGATCCAGTATATTAATTACTCCCTATGAAAACTACCTTTCCAGACAGATAGAAATTATATTTGCAAATATCCAGACCAAAATTACTCAGAACATTTAAAACGCATATGTGAAAAGCATTTTACAATATTACATCTAATCTGCAAAGAAGACCCCAGTGATCACTAGGAAATCTACCACATTCCAGTTTTTCCAACCCAAGGAGATCCAAACTTTGGGGAATAATGTGGCCGCCTTCTGCCGCTGCTCTGAAAAATATTCGATCAAAACGATGCTTACGGATAGCAGGTATTCCAAGATTAGAGTTCATTTGTGTATCCCATGTATACTGGCAATGCTTGGGTTTCCCCAAATACTCCCAGACATCCAAAATGTTGTTGGGTAAGCCACCACATTTGGTAACCTGAAAAGACAGAAAACTGTAAGATTCAGTCTTTACCCCCTAAATTAAAAAGGTGTCTTCACAAATGCAAAACTAGGTGTTATAACTAGATATAAAATGTATTTTGCTACATGATTAATAAGTAGGTAATATAAAATAATATAAAAATACCAAGATAGCCAGAGAGGCCTGGAATTTGCCCCTTTTCTTCTTCTTTTTTTTTTTTTAACACCTATAGCACCCAGTTTTCCTAGTACTAACCAGGTCCAACCCTGCTTAGCTTCTGAGATCAGACGGGATCAGGCATGTTCAAGGTGGCAAGGCGGTAGACTGCCCCTTCTTTTCTGCCATAAATAGATTCCTTACTGCTATTAGCTTTTTAAAAATAAACACAAGTGAAAAAGCAAAACTGTTACTCTACTTTTGTCTATAAACTTAAAAGTATACCATTTATATGATCCAATAATGCCAACTGCCTTCATTTTATTTGAAATTTACTAACAATATTAATTCTTCTTTCTCCCATTCACACTCCAAGATTTTAAAAATTATATCTTATAATGAAGTTGTATCCTTACTTTACATCCTATATAAAAGTTTATTCAAAATGGATCAAAGACCTAAAGTAAGGGCTAAAACTATTAAAATTCTTAGAGACAACATAGCGAAAAAGTTTCATGACATTGGATTTGGCAATGATTGCTTTTATATATATAACAATAAATTATGTACATAAAATTTACCATTTTACACATACAGTTCTATGGCACTAAGTATATCCACATATTTGTGCACCTATAACCACCATTCATCTCCAGAACCTTTTTATTTTCCCAAAACTGAAACTCTGCCCTTTAAACACTAACTCCCTATACCACCCTCACCCCCATGCCTGACACGCACTATTTTACTTTCCATCTCTATGAATTTGACTTTAGAAAATTCACATAAAAGGAATCATAAAATATTTGTCCTTTTGCACTGGCTTATTTCACTCAGCAGCATGTCTTCATGGTTCATTCATGTTGTAGCATGTGTCAATATTTTCTTCATTTTAAGGCTGAATAATATTCCATTGCACATATATATTTTGCTTATCCATTCATCTGTCAATGGAACCTTGGGTTGCTTTCTATTTCAGTTCTTGTGAACAATCTATGAACCTAGGTGTATAAATATCTCTTCAAGACCTTGGTATTTACCTAGAAACAGAGTTGCTGGATCACACAGAAATTAATTTTTGGAGGAATCCTCACACCATTTTCCACAGCAACAGCGCCATCTGACATTTCCACCAGTGATGCACAAAGTTTCAATTTCCGCCAATCCTTGCCAACAGTTATTTTTGGTTTTGATAATAGTCATGTTAATGGATGTAAAGTGGTATCACATGACAGTTTTGATTTTCATTTCTCTGACTGGTGATGCAGAGCATCTTTTCATGTACTTATTGGACATTTGTCTATGTTCTTTGGAGAAATATCTATTTAAGTCTTTTGCCTATTTTTTTAATCAGGCTGTTTTTTAACAGTTTTTTTTTTATTGAAGCAGTTCTTTATATATTCTGAATATTAACTGACTATCAGATATATGATTTGCAAATATTTTCTCTCATTCCATGAGCTGCCTTTTCACTCCATTGATAGTATCCTTTGATGCACAAAATTTTTTAATTTTTATGAAGTACACCTCATCTATTGTCTCTTTTATTGTCTATGCTTTTGCTGTCATACACAAGAAATCATTGCCAAATCCAATGTCACGAAACTTTCTCCCTATGTTGTCTCTAAGAGTCTTATTAGTTTTTACTCTTTAGGTCTTTGATCCATTTTGAATAAACTTTTATATAGGGTGTAAAGTAAGGATCCAACTTTATTTTTTTTGCACGTGGATATCCAGTTTTCCCAACACCATTTGGTGAAAAGCAGGATTTTTTAAATAGTCAACCAGACACCAAGAAATAGCTACCATAAAGCCACTGATATGCAAACAGTCCAATAAGAAAACTTGACTTTTTAAAATAATCTGTACAAGGACAAAGTCACCAAGAAAAGCAGAGCACCACTTCCTTTATTTGGGATACTGCCTTCACTTCAGCAGTAAGTACTGACATGCTTTCATTTCCAATTTTTCTTCCTCCACTCCTGGAGCCTGTGGCAGTGAAAATGAACAGAATCTTCATTTCAATTCACTTTTAGTCTGATGTGAGGTCAGCCAGAGTAGGGGAAAAGGCAAGGCGGGCTGACTATCTACTATATCCTAAGTTCATAAAGATCCTAAAAGGTATCAACGTGTTTCAACTGACCTAAGAAAAAAGAGACTGTTTCAGACCTGGTCATGATAGCACCAGGAAAAGGGTACAGTAAAAAGACTGAAAAAAGAATATCTCAAAAAGAAGAGAAGAACAACTATGATAGTCGAATCTTTCTATTCTTCTCACCTTACAACTAGATACTGCAAATAAACTTGACCTTTTTCCAAACTCTTCTAATCTTTTCTATACCTGTCTTGTTAATCCACATATATTGTTTAGTGCTATGTTTCATATGCAATATCTGTTTTCCTCCCAATAACCTAAGAGCCCTTCTGCCTCTGCTGCCATAGTGCTAGGCATAGAACACAGCTAAATAAATACTTGCTGATTTGCATCTGCAAGGTCACATACATTTTACCAGCTTTGGTGAAAAGGAGCCTAAATTAGTTTCCACAGAAGTAATTTGCACATAAACACTGGAATGACGCTGTCACTCACTTCTTGATCCCTTAGATTTGTATCGCCTGCAAATATAACTGAAGCTGACTCTGGAGCCTCTTGCATTTTCTTTAAAACCATTTTTAACTGATTCATTCGTTCCTTAGCATGCCCGCTGGTGCTCTCCAAATGAGAAGTCATAAGGCAAAGATCATTTCCCGACACACTTGCCTGCAACAGGATTAATACAGTCGTTAAAAATTATCCACTAGCTACTAATCCTTAAGTCAGCAGATTATTCAAATGACTGGAACATACTGACCAAAGCAAAACTACCTAGTCAGCACCATGTTTCTCCTTTCAGGTCGCAGTCTAAGGTGCTGACTCTGCTCCAAAAGAAGACTACTCAGTAAGCACCCACTAACACTTCAAGACCTACCTCCAGTGTCATCTACACTGTGAGTCCCTCCCCAGTGTCCCCAGGCTCCTTCCTCCACATTTCTATAGCACACTGGAAAGACTGTTTTTAAAGTCCTCTAGACTGAAAACAGCACAATTATTTCTCTCTTCCAAAGCCATGAGTCTTTTTAAAGCAAAGATGGTTCTTTTATTCACTGCGATTTTATCAAGAACCTGGCACACAAGTACTCAAAAAGGATCAGTTGAATGATCAAGAAATTATTTACCATTTACAATTAAGATACCAACAATGAAGGATCTGTCATTATTTAATCTAATTATCTGCAGAATGGAATCCAAACTCTTTCATATTGGGCATTCATGATCTATAATCTAGATCTGACCTATTTTACCAACTTGTCACGCAATCCCTTTTCGTTCACACTACACTCAACTGAACAGAATGCTCATTTATACTCTTATGTGCCTTGTCTCATATATATAAACCTTGTCATTTGTAATTTGTAAAAGTTTGTTCATGGTGGTTCTGCCACCGGGATTGTTCTTAATGACTACATTTTACATATTTTTCAAACCCAGTTCAAATACAACTTCCTTCAAAAAACTTTCACTAAACAACCTAGCTAATTTCATTGTGAGTCATATGATGACAGATGTTAACTGAATTTATTGTGATTTCATAATATATACAAATATAGAATCATTATACTGTGCACCTGAAAGTAATAGTTATGTTGATTATATCTCAATTAAAAAAAAATCTAACTAAGAGTCATCTCCCCTTTCTCTAAACTTCCATGGCACATCATTATACCTATGCCATGGTGTCTGCTTTTCCTTTATTTTAATTACTATATATACAATCTCTCCCTTACCAATCTATAAATTATGAGAGCAAGATCAATGCGACCCATTTTTGTAAGCCCCAGAGTACAACACATTTAATAAAAAACTATATTAGAAAGCAAATGAGGAATATTAACAAACTCTTAAATATTCTTAGGAAAACATCTAATGGATCAAGGATTTCATTTTTACAAAATTGTCTATATTTGAAATTTACGTAAAATTTTACTTTACAAAGTTCTTTAAACCTGTTAAAAATCTATAAGTGAGGAGCAATTTTTTCTAAAGGCAATAGGTTTTTAAACAAAAGACACTCCCATGGGAGTAGAAAAAAAGAGCCCATTCTTTTTTAAAAAAGAGTTGATTTTAAAAAATTACTTACATGCACACACAAAAGGTTTCTCATCATCTTTGTATTTGGAAAAGGAATAATCTCTTGGCTTTTAAATTTCACTCTCGATTTCTTCAACATTATAGCTGTGAAATATCCTTCTTCATGACCTTCAAATGTTTGTGAAAAAGAATTTAGGATGAATCATTAAAATGGCCATACTGCCCAAAGCGATCTATTGATTCAATGCAATCTCTATCAAAATACCAATGGCATTTTTCAGAGCTAAAACAAATAATCTTAAAAATTATATGGAATCATAAAAGACCCCAAATAGCCAAGGGAATCTTGAGAAAGAAGAACAAAGTTGAAGGTATCACACTACCTGATATCAAACTACTACAAGGCTACAGTAATCAAAACAGCATGGTACTGGCGTAAAAACAGATACATTGATGAAGAGAGAGCCCAGAAAAAAATCTATGCCTATACGCTCACTTAATATACGACAAAGGAGGTAAGAATATACAATGGAGTAAAGACAATCTCTTCAATAAATGGTGTTTGGAAAACTGGACAGATTCACGCAAAAAAGAGAAACTGGACCAACCTTCTTACACTGTATACAAGAATAGACTCAAAATGGATTAAAAACGTAAATGTAAGACCTAAAACCATAAAACTGCTAGAAGAAAACATAGGCAGTAAACTCTCTGATATTACTAACAGTAATTTCTTTTCAGATATATCTCCCTAGGCAAGGGAAACAAAAGAAAAAATAAACAAATGGGACTACATCAAACTAAAAAGTTTTCCTACAGCAAAGGAAACCATCAACAAAACAAAAAGACAACTAACTGACTGGGAGAAGTTATTTGCTAATGATATATCTGATGAGAGGTTAATGGCCGAAATATATAAAAGACTCATACAACTCAACAACAACAAAAATAGTCCAATTAAAAAATGGGCAGAAGACCTGAACAGATACTTCTCCAAAGAAGAAATACGAATGGCCAATAGACATATGAAAAGATGCTCAAGGTCACTAATTATCAGAGAAATGCAAATTAAAACCACAATGAGATATCACCTCACACTTCACACCTGTCAGAATGGCTATCGTCAATAAATCAAAGAACAAGTGTTGATAAGGATGTGCAAAAAAGTGAACCCTCATACATTGTTGGTGGGATTGCAAACTGGTACAGTCACTATGCAAAACAGTCTGGAGGTTCCTCAAAAAATTAAAAATGTGTATACCTTTTGACAGTGCAATTGCTCTTGTGGTTATTTATCCAAAGAAAACCAAAACAATAATTCATAAAGATCTATGCACACCAATATTTTTGGCGGTGTAATTTACAATAGGCAAGATATGGAAGCAACTTAAATGCCCATCGACAGACAACTGATTAAAGAAGTTATGGTTCATATATACAATGGAATATTACTCAGCCATTAAAAAAATGAAATCCTACCATTTGCAACGACATGGATGGAACTAGAATTTATTATACTGAGTGAAATAAGTCAGACAGAGAAAGATAAATACCACATGATTTCACTTATATGTGGAATCTAAGGAACAAAAAGAACTAATCAAAAACAGACCCACAAATATAGTGGACAATTTGGTGACAGACAAAGGGGCTGGAGGTTTGCAGGGCTGGGAGAATAGGTTGAAGGATTAAAGAAGTACAAATCAGTGGTTGATAGATGGTCACGGGAATGCGGAGCACAGCATAGGGAATGCAGTTAGCATTAATATATTGGCTAGGTGGAAAATCAGAAGAGAGAAGGAGTAATTAGGGGGACAGACTTATAAACTATATAAATATCTTAAAAAAAAAAAAAAATCCAGTGTAAGAATTTAGGTTGAGAGGTCAAGAGTATTTGCAATTTATCACAGGTTCCCTTACTGGAGATTTTATAACAAACAGACCCAGCTACTTAAATGAATCTAAATCTTAAAAGCAAACTATTATTTCAAAGTAGTTTAAGATGACCAACCAAATCTCTACGTTTACCTGCCCCCTCCCAAAACGTAACTGGAAGTATGGAAGAAACATAAAAAACAGAAATGACTTCAAATAAGTGCCAAAAGTAGTTTATGGTTCCAATATCAAATAAGAAAATTTGAGAAATTTCTGAAAGACAGAGTAGATGTGACTTAAACTGAGGCAAACCATGGGATTCAAAAAACAAGAAATCCAAAACAGAAGAGAAGCAAAAGGAATCCCCAAGAGAATACAGAAAAGTAATCCTACAGAGTGAGAAGAGACTGAGAGAGGAGCCTCTCCTTAGCAATTCTGGAGGACAGAGTAAATCAAACAAATCACATAACATATAAAAGTGAAAGTCAAAGAAAACACAAGATTTAGCCAAAAATCATAAAATGTAGCCAAAGTGATACATTAGATACTCTTAGTAAAAAAAAAAAAAAATAGCTGGGGAAAAAAAAAACTAAATTAGTCAGGGCAAAAAGATAGAAAAAGGAATAGACAAAGACTTTTTGAAAAAGCATAACCACAATTTAAATATCACACTTAAATCTTTTAATGATTTAATTTCACCAAAAAGCTACTCAGTGCCTCAAATTTTGGCAGTTTATATTTTCCTGAAAAAATCATTCAATTTCACTTTTCTGCATGTTAACATTAAGCTATATATTCTTCTATAGTTCTTTTAGTATCATGTCTAGCTTGTTTTCTTAAATTTATTTGTGCTTTTTCTTGTCTATGCTCCAATAGGCTAATTTTGATTTATCTCTTTCACTGACTTGTTTTTCAAAAAAAAGTTAAATACCAGACAAGTTGTTACCTGTAATGATCTCATAACTACTAGCTTTCTTCTTTAGGTAGCTATAATATGGAGGAATAACTTCCTGTAGAAATATCACATCTGGGCTGTACCTAATTAAAAACATCAATTTATGATAAATACCAGGTAGACCATTTTATTTGCAACTAATTAGATTAGAATAATACCACAACATAAAAAAAAACACAAAATTACCCTCTAGGACACCTTATAGTCAATGTTTATACTGAACTCTGATAATTATAAAATGAGAAAGAGCTGTGGTATTCAATACATAATTTTTAAAACAAAACATTTATGTGTGACAACACTTTAAAGTTAAAAGAATTAGAGTCATTGACAATAGGAACCAGTAATATTGAGAGCATACAATGGTTCTACATACTAATGGATGCTTCGAATGTGATCATCATCTCTTTCAATCTTCTTGAAAGAGCTATTATCCATGATGAAGTAAACTGAGCTCACAGGTAATTCCACAGGTAACAGAGCTAGTGTGTGGCAGATACAGATCTTTTTGGTAATTTAATTTTCACAGCAATAATTACAACAAAGGTTAATAAGTAAAATAGTACTAGAAGGCTTCTAACAAAAATCAGTATTCCCACTCCACCCCAACCCACAATCCCGTGCTCAGACACAATCACTCTCAATTCTCTCACATGTTTCTTCCAAATGTTGAACTTTAAACTTGGGTACTATACCTTCAACTATTAGCCTCTTTGTACATAGGTAAGACACATCACCATGCTACCCTTAAACAGAAGTAATAACACTCACAAAGCTAAACAGGAACACACTCCTCGAATCCTCTCTTGTAGATTGTTTGGATCCAATCCATCAATATTCCAGGTAATGAAAGAGAACACGCTGCCATCTTCTTGCTGAAGATTTTCAGATGTGCTGGTTTTAGAACTAACCGAATCAGTTGTTTCCTCATTGGTTAGGTCAACACTAGCAAGATCAGAATTAAACACAACTTTGCAAATACGTAAACTGCTTAATTTTTAAAGTATTTAGTATTTGTAGCCTTCATTTCACAGTTAAAAAAATTTAAAAAGAACCCTGAAGTATCTCCCAATCGAAAAGCAGAAGTCATGACTGAGGAAAAATAGATTCTTACTTTGTTATCCAAACGTTTGCTCATTTTTACAGTTAGAGAGAACTCAATATCCTTCAATGACATGTGTCACTAAAATAATTTTATAAACTAGGACCCCAAATTAGAATAATATAAGATTTCCAAATTTATTTATATTCATTATAAATCATATATAAAATAAGATCTCATTGTGGCCAATAAGTAATAGCTGCAAGTTCTTTGTTATTCCCCTCGTAGAGAGGTGAAGTCTAACAACCCTCCCCTGGAATCTGGGCCTTAGTGGCTTGCTAAACCACTAGAATACAGTGAAAAGGACATTCTGTACTTCTGAGACTTGGTCCTAAGAAGCCTTGCAGCTTTAACTCCAGCCATCTGGAACGCTGCCTCCAGGACCTCTGAGCCACCATGTCAAGAAATTCAGCTCCCAATCAGGGAGACAGAATTGAGCCTTGTCTCCTGTCTGCCTACCAGTCCAGTCAACTTGGCAATAAAGCCTTTTTACTTTTCTCAAAAGCTGGTGCCATAGTACTGACTTCTATGTGCATTAGGCAGCGAGCCTTAGCTTGGTAAAAAGGCCCAGATATTTGAGTAGAAAGACAAAACATTAAAATATGACTGCTCAGCACTTATAAATTATATATAAATTTAAGAAAGTTTTTGCATTCATAATTTTAATAAATTTAATGCCAATATGTTAACTTCCTTTTTTAAAAATTTGAGGTAGAATTAACATATAACTTTGTATTAGTTTCAGGGCACAACACAATGATTTGATATTTGTATATACTCAGAATGATCACCACAATGTCTATTTAATTTACTAGTTTAACTTATTGTAAAATATTTTGACTTTTAGATTTGCAAAACCAATAAATTCTTCTATTCACCATTCAAATACATGTTAACTTTTTACTTAACATTTACTTCTCTTCTGAAACATTTACATTAACACTTTTGTATGTATTTCTTAAAAACAAGGGCCTTACATATATATCCTAGTACAATTATCCAATGGCAGAAAATTACTATTGATACAATATTAGAATTTAAAGACCAACTGTGCCACTAACACCTCATCCAGACTCACTCGTTCCATTGTGAAGGTATGTCTCTGAATTTCCTTTAATCCAGAATAGTTCTTCAACCTTTGTCTCTCATGACCTTGATATTTTTGAAGAATACAGGCCATTTATTTTGTAGAATGTCCTTCAGTTTGGGTTTATTTGATGTTTGCTTATGACTGGATTCAGATTGTGCATTTTTTGGCACAAATGGTAGTATATCTTCTTTAGTTCATATCAGGAGACACCTAATACAGACCTGTCCCCAGTACTGGTCATGTTACCTTTGATCGTTTGGTTAAGGCCTTGTCTATCAGATTTCTCCACTGCAGCTATGATTTTCCCCCTTTGTAATAAATATTTTGTGGGTAGATACTTTGAGATTATGTAAATACCTTGTTTCTCATCAACGTTCATCTATTAGTTTTAGTATCCACTGGTGATTCCTGTCTGAAATAATTATTACTATGGTGGCTCCCAAAAGGCGATTTTATTTTTTGCCTTTTTTTAAATTTATTTTTTAATTTTAATTAGTTTCAAGTATACAGTACATTAGTTAGACCAAATGGTGATTTTTTTTCTAATTCCATCATGGCTTCTACATTTAGTAGTTGGAATTCTATTGCAAGGAAAAGTGCTCCCTTTTCTCCTGGACAAATATATTTATATCGGTATGGACTCTTATTTTATACTATAGATAAAGTCTCGCTCTCCCTGGCACTTCATCTGAGTTCCAAGAGACAACAGATTACAACTTCGCTTGTTTTTGCCAATTTACAATTCTGGAGTAGAGAATTCCTAATGGTCCTCCACCCCACCACTACTCATCTCGATCCATATTTTTTTTGAGGAAAGACTTCACAGAATCCACCTCTTTTGTTCCAATTTCTTTATTGGTTACAATTTGTGTTGCAACTAACAGACTAACAGATTTGGACTAGTTTGAGCAAAATCAAGGAATTTATAAGGAAACAAATATGTCACTGAGTTAGGTCAGGGAGTGCAGCTATCCCTAAGGAATTGCAATCGAGGCTTTCTCGCACGCTTCCTCAACTTCCCTCTGCTTCATTCTCTCTCTGCAGACCAGCGTCCTCTGCTTACACACACACACACACACACACACACACACGATGGATTGGATCCCCACAGGTACTAAATTACAAGGTTACAGTTCCACCTCTGCAGGAAGATTCAGACTTCAATCTCTTAGTCCTTACCTGGAAATCCCATGGAAAGAATGTGGCTAGCCAGCTTGGGCTAAGTGAAAACTTACTAAGCTAACTGGGTCTATTACAACAGGGATGCCTGAAAATATCACTGTGAGTGAGTAGACAATTCCCCAATAAGAGGCTGGGCAGAGAAAGGAGCCTAATGAAATAATAAAATAACATCTGTAAGCCAGTACAGCTGAAAAGATCAAAGAGAGAAGAGTCTCCAAACTGAATAGTTAGCAGTACGGGCTGCCCATAAAGCTGGGAGAACTTTATACATCCCATACATACTTATTGAGAGCTTATTACATGTCAACTACTGTATTAGACCTTCGTAAATCAACAATGTATAAAACATATAGTGTTTTATAGTGTTTACATGTATAGTCTTACATGTGTAGTGGGAGATATAAAATATTAAACTACAATTATAACATGAACTGTTATTATGACAGGGGCCATGCAAGATGCTATAAAGATTACCTAAGATGGGAACCCTCTCCAGATTTGGAAGATGGAGGAAAGCCTCTTAGAGATGTCATTTGTAACCCGGGCCTTTAAGATGAGTATTACTTAGCAAAGAAAGACGAAGAAAGGCTTAAAGGTTGAAGGGCAAGAAAAAATGGCCGGCTGTAGAAAGCGAAATTTGATATGCCTGTACCTTTTTGTGGGGTAGGAAAGAGAGCACAGAAAATGAACCTGCAAAAACGGACAATAGTCAAACCGTGGAGGGACTTGTAAGGCATCCGGGCTTAAGAGAAGTGGTGCAGAAATTGGGAATGGAACACTGGAATAATGAGCGCGTGTAGAAATAGTACAGAAAACTATTAATTCTGGCTGCCGAGCAAAGAGTAAATGAACAAACAATACAGGACGCAAGGCGCCTTCCAAGTTACCATTCTCCAATTAAGATTTTTGCCTCATTCATTTGTTTCGAACCTCTCACTTACATATTTCCTATAATTAGAGTCAAGAAATTATATTTTAGATTGTTCCTTCCCGGACTCAAATTACGTTGGAGATGACAGTGTGGACCTCGGAGAGAGAAGGGGTGGCGGGGAGGCGTCAGCCCTGCTGCTGGGGCGCACCTCCACCGGAGGCGCCAACACAAACCCTTCGCCTCTGGTCATGGTTACTGTGCGCAGCACCGCTGCCCGCCCCTGCGGGTCCCGGAGGCCCAGCGCTCCCACACTGACCCGCCCACCCGACCCTGCCTGTCCCGCTCACCAGTTCCCGGGCTCGGATGCGGTCTCAGGACGGCGTTTTAAGGCGCCCTCCTCCACCTGCGGCTCGAAATAGGCGTTCAGCGCCCTCTGAAAAACAGACACAGGAATGGGCTTCGTGCTCGCACAGCAACACGAAAAGAGCGGAGGAGAAACGGCGAGCGTACTTCCATCTCCCAGTCGTTCTCGGCCAGGCAGCGCCGCGCTACAGAGACGCTGCAGCTCGCGACCGAAGAGAACTCCTCACACAGAAGACGCCACTTCTTCCCTGCGGGCTCCCCCTCGTCGCGCCCCGCCTCCTGCCTGGCCTCGGGGCTGCTCTCCGGCCCCATAGGCCCAGCCTCCGGGGTGCTCTCGAGCTCCATTAACCGGCCGCCGCTGTGCGCAGGCGCCCGCCGCCCCCTGTGCGCATGCGCGCGCAGCGGGTGTCCGCTGCTCCGCATCAACCACTCGGCTGGCCAGCGTGCTCCGCCGCAGGGCGTCAGGCGGGGCTGTGGAGCCGGCGATTGGCCGGCGCTGAGGTCAAAACAGTGCGTACACGTACCGTCAAAACGGGAGCAAAACGTCAGTGCGCGAGCGCGTGGCTCAGTGGTTGTGGTGTGCCGCACAGCAGGCCGCAGATTGTATTTTCGCTAGCTCCTGGGCTTCCAGGTTCTTCAGAGGTTCACTCTTGCGCAGGACCCAGAAGCCAGCGAACGGCCCATGATGAGCCTGACTCAGAATCTGCGGGAGACGATCCAGTGCTTCAGCCGTGTCCGCAATTTTAATAGAGTTTTGGAAAAGGTATTAGAGGCGAAGCTGCAGCTTGTGATGAAGGGAGAGGAGGCAAGGTGCTTGGATAAGTATCTCGCTAGTTTCTGTTCTGCTGTGGCCGTAGTTCACCTTAGTAATGATTACTACTTTAATGGAGCTCCATAATGTACCAGGTTAAGTGCATGGATGATCTCATTTAAACGTATATAAGTATGGTTGTCACATATGGAAACAGAACTGCTCGATTCTAGAGCTGGAAAGGATTTAGAGTTCGACTTTTCCGCAGACAAGGCCTTTGGTGCTGGAGAGACAGCCCGCGGTTCCAGACTGCATTTGCAGTCTAGTCGATTAGGAGATAAATAATTGCAGTAAGGTAGGAAAGTAAAGCGCTGGATGGAGGTGTGCTCTCCGGAGTTAGGCAAGGCCAACCCTGCCACCTTTGCACAGGAACAAACTAGTTCTGTCTCCTAGTTTTCAGTGTCTTTGTTAGAACATGATGTTACAAAGGAAGCATTTGTAAATAAGCATGAATAACAAAAACCCTTGATTATGTCAGATTCGGGCCACATTTAACAGCCTGAGAACATTTAGGGCTTTTTCCCCGTAATATTTAAATGAATGCAAGCCTATTTGTCTTTTAATTAGGAGAGAGTACTGGGAAATTTAGAAATAATTTGGAAGTGGAGTTTCAACAGATCAGCTGCAGCCGTTTGTAGGAAGAATGCAGGCTTTAAAGTCTCACTCTTGGAATGCAACATTTAGGCTGTATTTTCAACATGTCCTAATTATCGCTCAGAGGTTTTGTGAAAAATAGAGGAAATACTTAGGCAAATGTATTCAATGTTTTCAAATAGCAAATACAGTAAAATCCAAGGACACACTACCATTTAACAGTATTATTTTGAAAGATGTATTATCCAAAAAGAAAGTTTTGGTTTATGGTTTTTGCTGTTAAGCTTTGAGCAACCTTATGTTTCGGTGTCTTCTCATGATAATCTTACCATGAGTCAGATTTGCCTTTGAGTGTCTGGAACAGTCATAAGCCACATGCATGACTGAACTGGCATTTGTGATAACTTACCTTCCGAGAAGATACACCTTTAAACCAAGTGTAGAGAGTTTCTCAGAATTTGCAGTAAGGTTGAAGAATGGTACACCCTATATCTAGACCAGTGCCATCCAATAGACATATGATGCAAGCTACAAATGCTAGTGTATGTGTAATTATAAGTTTTATAATAGTCACATTTTAAAAAGCAAAAATAGGTGAATTAATTTTAGTGATATATTTTGTTAATTCATATCCAAAATAAACATGTAATCAATACCAAAAAAGCATTATTTTTATACTTAATCTTTGAAATCCAGTGTGAATTTTACACTAACAGCAGATCTTAGTTCAGGGTAGCTATATCTCTGCTCAATACAGACAGGTAGCTCATGGCTGCCTTATCTGCAGAGGTCAATACCACAGTAGGTGCTCTGTGTTTGTTAGTTTGATCTAAAATAAGTTTCATGTTTGGTTGTTTTGTGTGGGCAACGTTGCTAGGGGTAAAGTATGTATGTATAGTGATCCATAAACCTAGTTGTAGACACGGTTCCTTTTACTGTAAATTTTAAGGTAACCTAAACCAGTGGTTCTCAATTGAGGGTGATTTTGCTCCTCATGGGACATTTGGCAATGTCTTGAGACATTTTTCTTTGTCACAATTGGAGTGGAGTGGGAGAGGCTCTACTAGCATCTAGTGGGTAGAGGCCGGGGATGCTGCTAAATATTGTATATGGTAAAAATTAAGAATAATAATGCATTACTGATGAGGAATTAAGGAATGAGGCACTTTTTTAAAATAGATGAAATAGCTAAAATTTTGGCCTATTTATCACAGGTCATATATTTGACTTAAAAAACACACTTACATACATAGTCCTGATTAAGAGTCACTAACTAACTAAACTAAAATTTTCTTTTGGACTGCTAACTACTAAAATTGGAGGGCCAGTTTTCATGGCACATAGTAGTTTTGAGAGTCAGTCCCACAGAAAATATTTACGTAAGCAAAATTAGGACACTGGTTCTCATTTTATAAACATTACCTGAACTTATCTAATCAACGCATTTACTTTAAAAACTTTTATCTGTGACTGAAAGCGCTGTCATGGTGGTTTGGTGCCATTCTCATTTGAATCACATCCCAGAATAACTCAAAATTAGAAAGTGGCCCAAGCGCTATCACTGCCTATGGCTCTGGCTACAAAGCAGTTGGCAGTCTGATTTGAATAGCCTAAAAAAGAGAGAGAGAGAGAGGAGAGAGAGAAAAGGAAAGACAGGAATTACAGGGTTCTTGATTTCAAGAGAACTTCCCAGAAGGTGGTGGAGGGCCAAGAAATCCACCTGCCTGCTTGGTGGTCGCTCGCGAAGGGCAAAGCCACGAATCTTCTGGATGTCCTGTCAAATGGACATGGTACAGAGAATACACAGGAAGATGGAACAGTCTGTGGTGTCATCCCCCAGCAGATCCTGATGTATGAAAGGGGGGTGAAACGGAGCTTCGCCACTACTCTACCATCAAACATGGAGTTGAACATCCCCAGCAGGGCAGTAAAACAAGCTGATTGCAAACATGGATTTCATTTGAACCATTGACAGATCTCTGCTGTTTTCTTAGTTTCTCTTCCTTCCTCTGTTTTTTTTGTTGTCGACCAGCTGACTCTGTTATTGTTTCCTCCTTTTCCAATTTTTCACTCTATTTCCACCTTCAGTCTCTTGTACTTGTCTGTCCTGTAAACCAGGACCCAGGTTATACCCTCAGCAAGTAGAGCCATGCACATGGAGATGAAAACAGTGGGCAGGCAGTGTGTTGGGGAACCTGGTGTTCATCTCGTACTTCTGTCTCTGCACTCCCACCCGCCAGGGGGTGAAGCGCTTAAGAGCCAGGAAAAATGCAGCAAAAAGGACTTCTCTAGATTTCAGGACCTAGAAGTGAGGCACGTTTACTTATTGCTCTTGGAAAGTAATCTGGCGGATTACTGTATAATTTGTTAAAAATTTATATACCCTTTTACCTAGCTTTCTAATTTTGGCAATCCTGTACGAATGAAAGCACCATTGTTTGTAATTGTAAAAAATATGGAAAGAGCACATCTAGTGTATTCAGTACTAGGGAATACCACACAGGTGTTAAAAGAGCTATCTGAATTTAGCTGGAGGAATGGCTGTGATATACTAGGAAGAGAATAATGAATTGCAAAATGATGCGTGTGATATGATCCCATTTTTTAAATTTTATAAGAAGAAAAAAAATGTGTACATGTTTGAATAAGCCTAGAGAATGATAATGATATACAGCACTGACAGAGAAGTAGGTAGGAAATTGTATCTCTATAGTGTTTGATTTATTGATTTATGTAAAATGACTATTTTTGTAATTAAAGTCTAATAAAAAGAAATAACATGGCAGTAGATGGCTCAAATACAGGACTTAAGGAACCAAGACATAATTAATGAATAATGAACTCAAGTCAACCGTTAAATCAGTATTGTAGGGGAAAGGGATTTGACATCCACTCAGAGCAACTGTCAGTGCTTTGGAAACATTCTGATTTTAGCAGTGGTGAATGGATGACCAATTTCAAAGGAAATGATGATGAATTTATATTCTACCTTGAAGGTAGTCGAGATATAGTTCTATGTACACCCTCTGAAATGAAATGCTGTTGGATCGTTATACCACTTGTCTAAGCCCTTTTATTCAAGGCGTGAGGTTTGCAGAGACCTCAAAGTTATCTGAGAGCTTTAATAGAAATTAAGTGCATATATTATGACAACTAAGCCATTCCCCAGGCCTCAGCTCACCATAGTCCTGCACAACATTAACCCTTCCTGGGAATGACTCTACATTCAGGTATAGGATTCCAAACTGTAGATCAGCTGCAAAAATTCTGTTCAAGCTTTTTCTTTCTCCCTTGAAAGAACTATAGGTGTGAATAGCCATTGCCCCAGTCTCCAGTCTAGGGGATAAGGAAGCTCCTTCCCTGTGGCCCTTCTTTTCCAAGTGGAAGTAGCAGGGAACCTGTGTGTAAGAAATCCTGCCAACATTATTGTGAGAGGACTTCCTAGCATCTATCTTTGTAGATATTTTGGAATGAGTCGATAAAATTTGCCAGTACCAGCCTTTGGGGGAAAATACAGTGATTGCTTATATTCCTTCCCGGCACATCTCTCCCCATCACCACTATTCCAGTGAAGAAGAGTGTTACTTCAGCTAGTTAAATCCCCAAGGAATAAATTCCTCTCTGTTCTTCCCTAGGTCTTTGTTTTGCCTCACAAGGCTTTTTCCCAGTCCTCACCTGGCTGATTCCTACCTGTCCTTCAAGTCTTGAATGTCATTCCTCAGGAAGCCTTTTCTAATGTCTCTTCCCTAAAAACATGCTTTTATAAGTTAGATACCTTTATTTCAAGCAACCCATATTTCTATTTGCAGTAATTCACTCTGCTGCAGTCATTTGTGTACTTGTCTCTTCCCTTAGACTGTGAAACCTTTAAGAGCAGGCCTTTGATCTCATACATCTTCACATTGCCAGTGCTTGATGTATTCACGTAAATGCCTGAATAAGGGGAATTCCACCTTGGTCCTGCTTGGTGTGTATTATTTATGAGGACATCTTATGGCTACATCATTTATTGTTAAATAGACTTGATCCTGTTGTAACATTTATTTTCCCACTAATTTATTTGTTAGGCAAAAAACATTGTTTGGGGTTGTCTACATTTTATAGTTCTCTTTATTTTACTTCAGGGCCTTTTAGGGGATAAACAGCAAAGCCTCTAAAGTGGTTTGTGAAACTCCAAAATGTCTGCCTGGTGGGAGCTGTAAAGGCTGCTCTCACTTTATAGTGAGCAAATAGGGACAATTGAAGGTAGACAGACCTAGATCTAAATCTCAGTTTTGTTACATCCTGGGTGACCTTCAGAATAAACCACTCTGAATTTAAGCTACCTACAAAATGGAAAGTATGGCTTCCTTATTACATGGTACATGTAAACTTTTGGCACAGTGCTTGACATATGAAAATGCTCACTAGGGTGCCAGGCCCCCGGTACATGCTGGGAGCTTGTGGGAGCGTCTGGGAGTGTGTGGGAGTGTGTGGGGGCGTCTTGCCCCACCTTCAGAGATCTAGTTCTTAAGGGGAGATGGCAACATCCATAGGTCAGGGGTGGCAGTGGGGGGTGGGGGAGGAATTAAAGAGAGGGGAAAAAAATACTAAATGGCAGTTATCTAGAATATAACTATTTAATGCTAGAGACATTCCCCCACCCCCAAATCAACAGACACACCAAATATCCATATTGTGCCTGAACTCCTCTAGTGTTGGTGAAAATTAGTTTCTAGATGTAGCACATTCCAGTCACAGCGCTGTTCCAGCTTCTAAGTATTATGCTATGATGGTTTTTCCTAGTAATTTAAGATATAAGAAACATTTCTATTGTTTTTGTTTCCTTTTTAAAGATATTTGATACAAAGTTTAAACCGAGTCTATGGCCAGTGCCACCCTGAACATGCCTGATCCCATCTGATCTTGGAAGCTAAGCAGGGTCAGGCCTGGTTAGTACTTGGATGGGAGACCACCTAGGAGACCAGGTGCTGTAGACGTAAAAAAGAAAAAAAAAATTAAAAACTGTTCCACATTTTATCTTTCATGTAATTATTTTTCATTGTGTTGCTATAAATGGGGCAGGGTCTTAAAAGCAGTCATTTACCTTTGCTGGATTCTGCTTTTAAACTTTTTATATTGAGTTCATGGCATAACCTTATAGTAACTCATTGAATTACAGAATTTCTTCATTTGTTAAAATTGTTTTAAACCATTCATTATGAAGTCATTTTAATATTACCCTGTTCAAAAACTAAGGAACATCCAAATTAAACCTCTAATGGGTTAATAAATCAAAGGGACCAGCTGACTTTGTTGATGCAAAATTTCTAAGGAGCCATTAAGAGAAGCCAGGTTGTTGTACACAAGGCTGAAAAGCTCAAATGGAACGTTTGATTTATACCAGAGGAGTAGAGATCAACAAAGACTAACACAGTTTTTCCCTAAATGTTTCTTCTTTAAAAAGAGTTTATATAAGGGTTAATTTCTATCATAGAGATTGGTAACATATTTGCATTTCTGAATCAACTTTTTTGGGGTGACTCAGTTTAATGCAGTGATAGTTTTTGATGGACTCTGAGCTTTTCTAATACCACAGAATGTTCGAAATTCTTTTCTTTTACATTTAGGTGACTCCTGTCTCTGCTGCTCCTGGGAAAGTGATTTGTGAACTAAAAGTAGAAGAAGAGCATACCAATACGTTCGGCACTGCCCATGGAGGGTTGATAGCCACCTTAGTGGACATCATATCAACAATAGCTCTGCTACAGACAGAAAGGGGATCACCTGGCGTCAGTGTTGATATGAACATCACGTATGTAGCCAAACTACACCAGATAACTTTTCTTAATGTGATAACTCTTTGTTCAAACGAGACTAAACACATTTATAATATAAAGAATGAGGTGCCCTTAGCTGGTCATCCTTAAGTGTTAGTCTAGATTTCTCCTAAAATATCCCATGGCCTTAGAATCTACTTAGAGGAACTAATTTCCAAGTACAGTATGTATCAGTAGTTAAGGAGGAATGGTCTAAACATTCGAAAAAGCAAACATTCAGCTTCTAATATGTATACTGCTGGGGGAAAAGTCACTGCAAACTCATGGCTTATAACTTTCATACAGTCTTGAAAAATGACACTTGTACAGGTGTCTTATGCAGGCTGTATTAAGTACATATAGAGAAAAGGCTGAATAAAATTCAAAGAAAAGTTGGAGAAACCTTCATGTATACATCATCATCTCCTTGTAACCAGGTGACCAATGTCCAGTTTGCAATCCAGGTCTCTCCCTGAACTGCACAGACATGCTCTGTAGGTTTTAAACTACATGATGCAGGGAGCAGTATCCCAGATGCCAGGCCGCCAGCCTGCAGGGGTCAGACATTCCAAATGTAAAAAATTCAATTCCAACATTAACTGGTACTATTGCCAGTCCTGTTCAGTAAAAGTGCAGTGCCCAGGGATTTAGTTGCAAGACAACTGCTTTTTCTACCTAACCAACAGAAAGATGAATTTTGTTTGGGGCAGGACAGGGGTGAGGAGGAAAAAGCCAATGTTATGTGACATAAGGGCAATGGAAATAACATCAGGTATTAGGTTTTGAAAGAATCTGTTATTAGGCTAATCTAAGGAATATTCAGTCCCTCTTTACTATGGAAATAACTTGGTGCAATAAGCAAAATCACTGGACAAGATGCAATGTTCTTTTGAAATTAAGATGTACAGAAAGAAAAGCTGCTGCTGCTCATGGTGCTGGTGCGCAGGGTCAGCAGTCCTCACCTTACTCCATGAGATGGGCAGTAAGACCAGCTGATGACTCTTCCTTGCCATAAGAGTCTCTATGCAGAGCAGAGATCTTTAAACCGAGCACTGCATTTCATTATCTTCTAAAATACTGCTTTCACAACCCTAAAGAATTTTTAGTAAGTCAAACATAGTTTTGTCAAAGTATGGGTTGCCTAAAGTATTGGCCACCATCACAAGCTGCCTGAGCTTCAAAAAGTGACTCACTTGAAGAGAAACTAGGACAATCTCATTTACTATATATATTTCAAAAGTAAATGAATGACAACTTATGAATAAAGGTGTATAGGAAGTGTATCTCTAAAAACATGTGTACACAATTCATCACCAGGACTATAAAGACCTCATATTAATTCCTTATAGTTCTTATGTTGTCATTTTAAATTCTAAATATTGATAAGATATACAGTTAAGCAGATTAAATGAAAGCTAGATGAAATTGTTCACCAACCCCCAAATATGAAGTGAGAAACTTAACCAAAAAAGGATTGTGGAGAGGGGTGCAAAAGCTTCTTCCTATATTTAGGGGAAAAGAAACTTGTGTAAATCAGGAATAGTAAGATGGAACTTGGTCAGGACCAGCCATTCAAATTTGATAGGATATTAAGTTTACTGTTATTATTTTAGTCCTAAAAATCGATTAACACGGGACGTGGTTCCATAGTATAGTGGTTAACATGTTTGCTTTACACGCAGAAGGTCCCGGGTTCACGCCCCAGTGGAGTCACAGTCCATGGTCTACAGCCATGCCACCCTGAACAAGCCCAATGTCTGATCTCGGAAGCTAAGCAGGGTCGGGCCTGGTTAGTACTTGGATGGGAGACCACCTAGGAAGACCAGGTGCTGTAGGCATAAATAATAATAAAAAGAAAAATAGATTAACATAAAGCTTTCTGTGATACACACAACTTTCCCTTTTAAAAATTATTTGCTCTTAACTATATTCAAATTTGTTTCCTTTCAAGGTACATGTCACCTGCTAAATTAGGAGACGAGATAGTGATTACAGCACATGTTTTGAAGCAAGGAAAAATACTTGGATTTGCTTCTGTGGATCTGACCAACAAAGCCACAGGAAAATTAATAGCCCAAGGGAGACAAACAAAATACCTGGGAAACTGAGAAGACAACAGTATGACTTAAAGAAACCCAACAAGGAATATCAGGTGTAGATTCGACTTGAACAAATGCAATTTTCAAAATAAATTAGCACGACCAGAAGTAGCTAAGTAGTACTTTCTTTAGGGAAAAGAACGCGGAGTCCAAGTAAGATTATAGGATGGGGGTGTCTTTTTTTTCATTTTTAAGCCTCTTCAATTTTAGTTTTTAATCCTAGGTATGATTACTTGGATGAAAAAATTCTTAGCTCAAAATGTTTTTGAAAACTTAGGTAACAAAGAAGCTACTCAAGGCACTTGGAGATAAAGATTGCCTTAAAACAACTCTAAATATTAAGCTGAAGAAAAAATACAATGGTTAATACTTCATGAATTTTAGGTCCTTTTCAGGTCTAAAATGCCATCTACATTTTTTTAAACCCAATTTCAAGACTATGGAACTTCCAAACAGGGCCATAGTTTATATTAGAAAATAGATTGAGCCATGGGTCTAAAACAGTCAAAGTTGGGAGGTAAAGCACACTAATATGATAGAGGAGATAGTCCAATTGGCATGGTACTTTTCTGATAATTTGTCCCAGGACTTTTTATATTAGGGGTGGGGGGAAGCATACTATTAGTCCCTTTTCTAGTACTTAAAACACCATGCAGCTCTTAAATCTCCCAGTCTACAGTACCAGAAATAGTTCACAAATTTTGTCCATTTCTGTTCTGTTGTCTATGGCGTTAACAGTGGATTTCTGCCTCAGGCTCTTAGTGATGATCATGACTAAAGAGCAAAAAGGAAGCAACTTTAAATCTGCAGTCAGTCAAATTAAAGATTGATTCTCCTTTACTTGTGTTAGAATACACAGACTTGTCTATTCAAAGGACTGAGTGGACCGCATAGAAGCATTGAGCACACAGGGGGCCCAGATCTTGATTTTCTGTCTCCCTAAAAAGGACCTGGGCTTCTTGGTGAAAGAGCTGATTTACCAAGGGGCTGGGGTTTGGACAGGCAAATTCCAAGATGAACATAACTGGTGCCTTAAAGGGAATGCTCAAGATAGAGGCAAGCAAATTATGCAGCACTGAAACAAAAGGGATCGAGTCCATACTGTTGACATAGATAATAGCAGACAGAAGAGCTTTTCCTTACAATAGAATGCTGATCAATGTGGAGGGAGTAGGTATGGAAAATCACTTTTTGCAACCAGCATAGTAAAGACTGGTTATGGCAAAAGGCAAAAAGCATCCAGGGTGCTCCTGAAGGAGGATATTTGCATGTTATTTCTTAGAGATTGCTTCTTAGTTGCATGTGGAAAAATAGTAACTATGAAGTGCAGAAACAGGACACGACTTTGGAACACATCAAAATTAACATCAACAAAGGAAACTGTGCTTCTAGATGTGAACTTGAGAAGGGCATATGGTCACATTGGGCTCTGGCCAGAATGCATAATCCAGATCTCACCAGGAAGAAACCACTCAAATGCAAGATCAGAAAAATTATATTTTAAAAACCGGCTTGTGCTCTTCAAAAAAGCAGAGGTCATTAAAGGCTGAGGAACTATTCCAGATTAGAGACTACACACATGACAAACTGCAATGATCCTGTACTGCAGGGTGTTGAAAAAACTATCAAGGATATTATTAGGACAACAGCAAAAAGAACAGATTAAAGTATACTAATGTTTCATATCTTGAGTTTGATAGCTTTACTATGGTTAAGATTATCCTTGTATACTTGGGACATATGCCCAAGTACTAAGGGGTAAAGATGTATGCACAATGTGCCACCAAACTCAAATGGTTCATATCAATACATGTAGAAAGACAAATGTGGCATAACATTATAGACTAAATATGGATAAAGGATATACAAAAAGCTTTCTGTATTACTCCTTTCAAAATTTAGGTTATTCTAAAAAAACTCAAAACCAATGGCTACTGAAATGCCCAACTTGTTGAATAGTAAGTGTAATTCAATATGATAAAACAGTCAAGAGCCAGACAGCTGGTTATATATAAATCCTCCCCTACTCAACAATGTGTTAGGCAAGCATCTATTTTTCCAAGGGGTTTTATAGATACATTAAGAGCTTAGAAGAGTTCCTAGCCATGATAAACATTCAAAGTGTTTCAAATAGACTTTAAATTGATCAGAAAACGTGATGTGAAAGCATTTTAGAATTAAGAATTTTTTTTTCCCCCACAAAGCAAGGCAAAAGGCCAGGCTGGTTCCGTGATTCCTTTTCTCGTTGAAATTACAAACCCAATTGCTGGTTTCTCCTTCTGAAGGTCATCAGTAACACTTACCCAGTGACTTAGGGAAAAAAAGTTACCACTTCAAGTTTTGTGTATTCACCTGAATAGTCAGGGAACTTACACCTATTTTATTTAGGTTTTCATTTTTTCAAATTCCAACCAGAAGCTAAATACAATTGGAAACCAGTAAGCACTAAGTTTTACTCCAAAGGAGTAGGATCATTCAGATTTACTCCAATAAAAGTATGCAACCCTTAAGCAAAGCTTTTCTTCATTTAAAAGAAAAAAACTATACAGTAGCCTTTCCTTATGTTCATTGCACAAAATGAGTTCTGCTTTTAGAACTTTGACTTGCAAAGGCTGTTTTTACAATTTAAGATTCCAACTTTAATAATTTTTTTTTTACAAGTTTTCTTTAGGATGGTGTAGATACCAGTATTTCTGCACACTTCACTGGATTTTTTTAAAAATAAAAATCTCTTTAAAACCAGGAAACAAAACAAAAATCAAAAAGGAAAGTCCTCTACCTATCATGGTTTCTGCAGCTATGAATGTATTTCTCAGTTTTATAGCTGCTTTAGCTACTTCAGACTCCAGATCTGCTTTCATGTGTCTAACTGTATCCACACTCAGCAGAATACTCTTCTATAACAGCAACTTGGGGAAAGAGATCTGGAAATAAAATACATTTAGGAGTACCAGGAAACAAACATGGCCCAGTAAAATATGAGGCAAGAATGCCTACAATGAGATGCTTTTTGCATTTAAGATTTCTTTCCCGTGGTTTTATTTTTTAAACCACTTCTGGTCATTAGAATGAATCTGACAGTACTCTGAACAACAGTGATTATAGCAAAGCTATTAAGTTTTTTTTAAAATGTTATTTATACCTGTTACATTCACGTCTCACCCTCTAAATACTGATGACAGATATCAAAGAGGCAAAAACCAGCACGAATGGAAAGACCATCAAAAATGAGTTATCACCTTGTGCTTTCAGATACATCTAAGCATTTCAGTGTACATAGTCCTTTCACATTTTTGTAAAATGCTGATGCAGTGCAGCAAAAATGCAAAGCATCTTCTTTCACACAGTCCGTGCAGAAGACATCTAATTTTTTTAAAGTTCTGAGATACAAATGATTAAAAAAAAATCCAGGATGAACAAGTTTCAAAATGCATAGTGTTCTGTACATGAGTCCATTTTCTTTAAACTCTGAAAGAATTAAGTGGTAAGAAAACAAGAAAAAAAAAATGCTGCTGCACTCTGATCGTCTCCATTTTGCTGGTCAGTACCCTATTCTGGCATATAAGGATGGAGGTGATCCTCTATGGTGCCAACTGCCCAGTGGGTAAGCTGTTCCTGTGGCAGGTAGAGGCAGATGCTGCATAACTTGAAGATTGTAGCTTTGTTTTTTGGAGTCTGGAAGGAGGAAAGTTTTAATATTCTTAATAAATAAGACAAGTAATCAATTGTCACATGAAGTCAATCTCTTACAATTTATTAAGCACCTAATGGACACAGCAACAAGGCACACAGAATTAAGGCATAAATGATGGTCCGTACTCACAGGGACCTTAGGAAGATAGAAATGTGCCATACAGAATAACAAGGAAAACAGTAAGCATGACTATAAATAAACCTTTAAAGAATTTATGCAGAATAAAAGGTAGGAAGGTCAACCTTAGACTGCTGAAAGAAATTAGGGTTAAAGGCATTTCATGGAGACAGATTTGAATAGAAGTTTGAAGTTATGTTTGTTTATAAAAAGACAATAGATATAAGGAGAGTAGAAGCTAGGAAGATCAGAAGTAAAGATTTAAGCACATCCTTAAGTAAAAGACTAGAAGAAAGCCAAACTATTACCAGATAAATCAAACTCTTTTAAGTATTTTTAAAAACTTGTTACTATTTTAACATCTAACTTAAGGCAAACATTTTCACAAATAACCATTGCCAGTAAATGGAAGATTAATCTGAACCCAGACCTGCCTTCAAAGATCACTTTTACATTCTAGCACCTCTCAAAAAGGCTGAAGACAATCTTTGCCAATGACTGAAGCAGTCTATATATGTAAATGAATTTATATATATGCACGTGTATTTTTTCATTTTCATTGATACACCTTTATGAATATCATTTACTCAACAGAAAGTATGTGCTCACAGAAGTTACTTGGCCAAGATCTATTAGCCAGTAAGTGGCTGCATCTGTATGAGAATCCAGACTCCAGGCATGTGCCTCTATATTACCTGCCAATCCAAAATTATCTTTTGGTCTAGCCCTTATTATGTATCTTACGTTATAATAAACAGCTAAAGAACTCTGCTGGGTGATTTTGCTCCAGGTACTTAGTTTCTTGATTTTCTTAAGTTTATACAAGGTCTATACCTCACAGCATTGTTGTGAGGATTAAAAGAGCTCACACATGTAAAGCTTAGTAGAGTCTGGTACATGATATACTGTATGTGTTGGCTGCTATCATATCAATTCCCTTGCGAACTAGTGAAGATTGATTCTTCTACGTAATGCAAATATGGCCAACATATCTTCAGCTTATGAAGATGAAGAAGAGAACCTGAGTGGAAGGAGACTAAGAATACTGAAGACCATCTATAGCCATGCCACCCTGAATGTGCCCAATCTCGTCTGATCTCGGAAGCTAAGCAGGGGCCTGGTTAGTACTTAGATGGGAGACCACCTTAGAATACCAGGTGCTGTAGGCGTTAAAAAAAAGAAAAAGAACACCGAAGACAAAATTCATCTGTAATTAGAATAACCAACCATCCCTGTCTGCCTAGGACTGAGGGGTTTCTAGGACTTGAGACTGAATCTCAGTGCTAAAAAATCAGAACATTCCAGACAAACTGGGACTGCTGGTCACCTACTTACAACCCACATTTAGCTTATTATCTTAAAAATTTCTTTACATTAAAAGGATTAACGTTGTGTTGCTGCCTAAAGCACAGAAAACATCTGACCTTAATACATAACAGAAATTTACTACTTATTATTAGCAAAGTAACTCCTTCAAGTCACTAGTCATCATTAAATCTTCTATGACTAAAAATCTCTGTTGTGGACTATACCGTCAGTATTCTGCCATACAGTATTTTCTCAGTAACTCAAATGAAAGTATGCTACAAGCAATTAAATAGAAAAATTAAGTCAACTTAAAAATTTCTACCAGGAGAGCTAAGGTAAAGACCCCAGATTCCAAAAAAAAACCAAACCAAAAACACCATTTGTTACATAGTTTTCCTATTAGTTTTATCAAATGCCTCCAGTGAAATTATCTTTCTTCTGTAACTGCTAAGTTACATAATTAACTTTACAAGATGAAAAGTCATGTCCACCAGCCCCTTGAAGGGAGCAGTATGATTCACCTTCGTATTTTTTAGTGCCTCGCACAGATTCTCTTAAATAAAAATAAACATATGTTCTATGATGCAATGAACATGTTTTGTTTTGTTTTTTTAAGTCTTGACTTAAATCACCTTAGTGAGGTCTTTTCTGGTTATATCATCTAAGAATTCACACCTGAGAGTTTACATATTGCCCTTTCTTTTCTCTGAGCGCTTATCACTATCTCACTATATATTTTATTTACTTACTGCTGGGTCTCCCACAGTAAGGGCAGGAATTTTTGTCTGTCTTGTTGAATGCTATACAGTAGGCTATGCAATAATTTGTTGAATGAATTTAAATACTATTTTTAAAGGTTAATAACAAAACATCTATTCTAAATTATAAGTAATGATATTCAGTCAGGTCTAGGTTGAAGAGAACAATGTTTTACAGAATGAAAGTTAATTTGGAACACCTAGATAGTTGCTTAAATTGGAAGTACTTATTTAAAACGGATATAGATCTCTTAAATATGGATGTGTCTCATCCCTTTAGATTTTTATTTACTTTTAAATAGGCCAGTGCTTCTCAAAATATGATGTTATTACAAGTCGCCCAAGGATTTTGTTCCAAATGCAGATTCTGATGAAGCAGGACTGGAGTAGGACCTGACGTTCTACATATGTAAGTTCTCCTCAGGTGATGCTGACCCGGTGACTACAGTTTAGGTAGAAAAGCTGTAGGGCAGCATTTCTCAAACTCTACTGTACACTGGACTCATGACTTTTAAAAGCTCTCCAGTCAGTTCTAATATGCAACAAAAGTTGGGAACTACTGTTCTGGGGTGAGGCCCAGGATTTTTTTTTTTTTTTTTTTAAATAACTTCAAAAACCATGCAACTTTGAAGGGGCAAAACAGAATAAGCTTTTAAAATGAGCCCTTACATGGACCCCTCCCTCCTCCCAAAAAATGCTTACCTGCAAGTGCTGTCTATCAATGAAGAGAAACACTGACTGGTTAGGATTGTTGACAACAATTCCAGTCTTATCCTTGCGGCTCAGTACATGCAGAAACTGTTTTTCATAGTCACCATGATGAAACTCAAATTTAGCCTAATTAAGAAACACATACATTTATATGTAACTACAAATGTGTTATACTACATGAAACATCTACTGCACACATATGGGGCAAACAGTTATGCTGTCCAATATGGTAGCCAATAGTGGCTACTTAAATTTAATTAACATGCAATTTAAATTTCAGTTTTTCAGTAATACTAGCCACATTTCAAATGCTCAATAATCACATGTAGCTAGTGGCCACTATTCTAAATAGTCTCTTAAGACAGAACGTTTTCTTCATCATAGAAAGTTCTATCGCCAGGATAGTTAAGTATACTATTTGAGGAGTGTGTGTGATGCCGGGGAAGTGATCTTCTGAAGTTCACCCATGCGCCCCACACCCATAAGACAAATGTCTACCTTAAAAGATTTCCTCTGGCCACAACTTCAAAGAAACAATGGGTAGCTGAGAACCACCTCATTCTCAAGAGATTCTATAATCCAAATGGTTTCTCGTCTTGCATTACAATATTTAAAATGATGGAACTCATAAAACTTATCAGAAAATATTCCCCCAAGAATTTAAATTAGACCCTACTCCAGGAGTTTTCACTTACTTGTGCTCACCACACTTATTTTAGAACAAAATACCTGAACAGGCCTAAAAGGCTCATCAGATTCCTTCCACCTAGAAAACAGGAGACAGACAATTTTTTCAATATCATTCCGAGGCCAAAGAATGAAATCCATCTCCTGAGTACAGCCAATTACATCCTATAAAATGACAAAAGAGAAAAAGTTACTTTCAAAGAAACAAAGCTGTTAACAAGGTTTAATTATAGAAACATTTCACAACTGCAAAAGGTCCACTATACATCGTTTCTTGTGATATATAATAGCAACAGGACTATACATAATCTGAAGAGCTCATAACCTAATTCATTCCAATTTTTATCTTGTAGAGCCCAGTCACTCAACAAGGTTCCTCATATAAAGACCTAAATTCATCAGTGCATGGTGAAAACTCCAACTAAAGCTGATTTTGTATAAGTCCCTGTACCTTTATTTCCACTTTTCAAAATCTGAACTATTTAATCAAAGGTATCTTGGAACTTCTAATATGAATCATTACCTTCTTATTACAATTAAAATACAATTTTTGTTATATGCTGATGTTCCTGTTATCATGGTCCAGCATATTAAAGGCCAATAAACCTCTGCCAAACCAGTACATGGTTATCTCCTATCTTCCCCTGCCCAACCACTAATGCTGGGGATTGCTTGTTCAAGTATGCCAGATTAATTTCCAATGAGCTGCAGAAGTTTAGAAGGTTGGCAGCAATAGTATCTTTTACTTTATTAATTTGGGGCATGATGTTAGCTGTCCTCCCAAAAAAGGAAAACCCAATGAACAGTAGTATAAAATTATTTTCACATAAATAATGTATATCACTATCAACATAATACCAGAAAAGTTATCTATATATTTTATTTGAAGTCAGTTTTTAAAGAGATTCATGACCACGGTAACTACCCATTCTTGGGCAAGGTGGGGTGAAGGGGGAAAGCAAGCTTAATTCACAACGTACGAGAACCAAGACTTCAAAACAGAACTTACCCTTCTCATTGACTGGTATCGAGGAGCATGGAGTTGTACCACATCCTTCTGTAAAAGTTCGATAGAACTTTCTAAGGAATAGCTGGAATCTCGCACACCTTTCAAGATATTTTCTTCATAATTATTTGTCATGACTGGTATAACCTCAGACACTTCAAAAAGTGCCGATTTTTTCTTCTAAAAGAAAAAAAATGGTGTATTAATCCACTGGTAGCACGCTGTCTTTTATCACCCGGTTCATATTACAACATCATGTACCTTTATTCTAACTCAGCAAAATTCGTAACTGAAGTAATTTTGGTACTGAAAACACAGATTTTCAAATAGGCAAATCCTTCCCCCACCCCATACTCCCCAACCCTAACCACATACAAACAGGCTATTATCAGAATGTTTAATTGGATGGTTTTCTAGCGTTATGGTATCCATAACAAGTATTTATTTTAGACAAGACTTCTTAAATACTGTGAGAAACAAACAAGAGGCCCTAAGAGTTAAAAAAAAAAAAAAAAATCAGTGACTTACTCTTGATGTATTTAACTGGTTCTATGTAGAGCTAAATTAAAATCTCACCTGCTTAAAAACAAAGCTATTCAAATTAACTGTTTTACTCCTTGAAGGTCAACTTCCATTACTCCTTCTGGATATTATATAACTACAAGTGTCAATATTTGCAAGGAGAAAAAAAATGTCTACCAGAGTTGCAAATTTAGTCCAGACCAAGTGCTCACCATCAATTCTGGTTATAAAATTCATGAACTACTAAGGACATGTGCCTGGATACTGTCCATTCAGGTTTCACAGTTTGAGGTGCCTTCTAAATACAAAGATCTAGTCTCGCCACATATCTTAGGTTTATTTCTGGTAAACATGCATTTTAATACCTTCAACTAATTTCTGATCTTATCAATTCTGCAGCCAAGTTATTAACAAAAAAAGAAGAGAACAAGAAGTTAATCCTTGGGACTACCCAATCTTGAGACAATCACATCAAAACAAACCACTTCTGAAACTACTTTACAAAGCTATTACTCTAGCAGTTAAGAGCATTGATACTAATAAACTTTCAGTTAAGAGATAAAAACCTGGGAAACTTCCAAATAGATATTTGATTTGAAATTAAGTCAAAATTTAAGCATAAAAACCCAAGCAGTATTTCCTTATATTCATAACCTAATCTCATATCGAATGGAAATTATTTAAGAAACCACTCATTATTTTAAGTTAAAAAAATACTGCTTTTATCATGTTCTCCTTGACAACTCATTATTTGCTATTTAACTGTAAAATTCTGATTAAGACTAAAAAAAATTTAACTTCCTCTCATTTTGAATTTTAATAAATTTTACTTCTAAACACAAATTAACCATCTGAGTTATTTAACTGCTCCTAAAAATTGAGGTGTATTCTATTTCATTAAATGTACTATGAAAAAAGGGACCTATATCCCGAACTTTAACGGACTGCTTTTAACACAAACATTTTGATTCCAATTTACCATTTTCAATGATCCTATTTATACATTAGACAGCCTTTAAATTCAGTTATAAAGTTCTCCATGCAACTCCACATAAATGAAATTTACGGTAAAAGACAAATGAAAGTTTTATTGTTGCCCACACCACATTAAAACTGGACCCTACTAAGCTTTAGAATTAAATAATTCCAAGCCAGTGAATACTCAAGCCTCCCATTCAGTTATACTGCAACTACTGGATTCAGAGAATTCCCCATAAAGTTGAAAGTCAAAGCATACAATTTAGACTTCCCAACCATGCTTTAACCTAATATTCAGTTATTTTAACAACTTATAAAAACCACTTGTGCTAATTCACATTAAGAACTTTAAATTACCTTCTCCTTGAACACAAAGGCAATATACATCTTGAAGTCAAACTGGTCAGCTAGAGATTCTTTTTTCTTTCTAAGCTGAGCACGTAGTCTGTTCAGAGCTTGTTTCTTCCGGGAGTTTGGGTCCCCCATTTTGAAAGACAGGTGGTACTAAAGCCTTTGGAAATTGTCACTAAACTATGGGTACTTTTTCTTAAGACTCAAGTACAACAGAAACAAGTCATTTTTTTCCCTGCTAGTATGATTGAATAGTTAAAATCACAACTGTAACCCAAAAATTGCACCTCTGGCAATATTAGCAGACTGTCATGACAGGGTCAAGAAACAAAAGCCACTGTCCAGTCATGTTTGGACAATAAAGTTTGGGATGGGATGGGAAAAAGGAGAGGAAGAGGAAAAAATACTTGAACTAACTTTTTGGAAAACACATTAGGCTAATTGCCAAAAATGAAGGCTTTGGGTAAGAAATGAAAAGTCTATTACCAGGATTTAGGTGTGCAATAAAACACAGGTGACACCAGTCCAATCCTTAAAATCCATCCGGATTCCCCCTCCTTTTTTTTTTTAGAAAAGGGATTATGAAAAGGAACAGGGAGGGGGAAGTGTGATCCCTGAAGAGAGAGAGAAAAAAAAACACCAAAAAAACCTCCCAAAAACACCAAAACAGGGAAGGTGAATGAAACTGAAATACTCAATTGGATTTTACCCAGCCAGATCCATGGCTGTAGTACCTAATTCTTATTTCAGGTTTCACTATTGCTATGTATCGTCAGGGCTTGTTATTGATTACACTTGGTCGTGAACAAACAGAAAAGTGCAAAATCAGTAGAGAAGGAAGGGGAGAGGTTCAGGGTTTCCCTGCCATCAACTACAGTGTATACCGGGTGTGGGCAGCTGTTGCCCAAAGGAGCCATGAGAAAAAACAGCGGAGTCACTACCAACTTCCCCATCACCCACATTTTCAACCTCAGGTGGCTGCTAATGTTGCTGCCAAGGAGAATCATGATGGCAGAGGGAAAAGGGAGCATATAATACGATATAATAATTATTCTGGCTCTGTAGTCAGACCTGATTAATGCCCGGGATCCCAACACCCCCTAGCCCTGCAATAAGTTCTACATTCCCCCAGGAGAGCCTCTTATGAATTTGCCCCCGTTCAAGACCGTAGGGAGTGCGACTTATCTTCTGGGCATTGCTGAGGCAAAGGTAGTGGGTTCTTCTCCCAAATCCAGGCAGTGCCCGGGGACCACCTGCCTTCGGACCCCCCCCAGGCCCCACCCCCACCCTTTGCCTTCAGCGGCAGCGACTCACTTGCACCACGGGAGACACAGGATCCCTCAGGTTTTCACTCATTTCATCGTGGAAACAATTCCCGCCCAGGTAGAGTAGGCGGGAGAGGGTAAATGGTAAGGATCAGTGGGAGGGGGGAGGGAGGGAACCACAGTAGTATTAATGTTGCTTTTTAAAATATGTCCACCCCACCCCACCCCCCCAAAAAAGTAGAAATGGAGTTCCCGGATTCCTACTAGCTCTCTCACGTTTAACAGACCATGTTTCCCGAATTTGGATGGTTTAGGGTGGGGTCGTTAGCGAGCTGCCCGAGGAGCGGGTGTGTGGCGGGGAGTCACCTCCCTGTCCCTGGAGGCCAGGATCGCGGACCAACTCGGGCAGGGCGGGCCCTCTAGCCGCAGCCTGCAGGCGGAGCGGTGGCGGCAGCGGAAGAGGCGGCGGCGGGAACGCTGCTCGCGGTTCGGGAAGGAGCCATGTCAAGAGAACACCACCAGCCAACTGAGCCCCCCCATCCCCACTGCGGTGCGCACTGGGACCGGGCCGCCCGCGCTGCTGCCGCCACGCAGTCCCCGCCTGGGACCCATAGTCTGGCTCGGCGCCCCGGGGCGGAGGGAGGACGGCGGCGGCGAAGAGAAAAAGAAGGAAAACGATAAGGGGGAGGTTGGTCCCGGCGCCGGGGAAGGGGAGGGAAGCCCTGCGCTAAGGGGTCTGTCAGCCAAGTCAACCCAGAAATAAAGTTATTTTAGTTCAAGCATCTGCTCTCGAGTCCTCCTTTCCCACGTCGCTCCGGCTCTCCGGAAAGCGGGCTGCGGAGACCTGGACCGGGAAAGCCGAGCGGATGGCGAGCGTCCGCGACGGCACAGCCTCGTTCCCCGCCACCGATGGCTGCGGAAACGGCAACGGCGGCGGCGGCGGCGGCGGCTTCAGCGCCTCCCGGTACGGGTAGAGTCGCGTTTGAGACGAGAAACCAGAACAAACAACTTAAAATGGCAGCGACGCCGCTGCGTCACCCGCCCCTCAGCGGCACCGCCCCGAGCTCTCTGCGCCTGCGCGCCTCCGCAGACCCCACCATCTGCGCAGGAACGGAGGGGAGAAGAGACCGGGAACGGGCAGAGCGTCACGGTTATCCAACAGGGAGAAGAGAGGAGTGAGAGGAGAAGTTGCGAACAAGACTTCAAAAGGGAGAGTCTTTAAAGTTAAACTTCTTATATGATATTCCCGCCTCAAAGGGAAGTTTGAGACTAGAGACCCCCCCCATTGTCCAGTATGGAGTGCACATGGGGCGTGGACGGGACAGCGCACACTCCCTCCGCCTTCTCCGTCAGGAAGTCTCAGTTTCCGGAGTTGGCTCCTCCCCTTGCTCGTCATAAAGTCACTCCCTATGCCCTCCTCGAGAAAGCACCCGGATGGAACAGCTTTTCCTGGGGTGTGGTCTCCGTGGCCGGCTGAGTTCCGGACGGGGCTGAGCTGACGGAAGCAGAGGGGGCGGAGCATAGGGAAGGTCGGGGCGGGGCGAAGGAGGAAAGAGAAGTGTGTCCCGAGATTGGGGAAAGATTCTCATTTCACTTCCTAAAACGGTTCTATTCTTAACCCACTAATGGGTAGATCTTCTGGGGGTCTTTCCTGTGGCGTCTTACAGCGACAACTTGAGAATTCATTTCTAGTACCTAGAATTTAAACAGCTTGCAGCAGGAAGTGTCTCCTGAAGGTCCCACATTTCTTTGTCCCGGGCTCACCATGTGCGCAGGCAAGCAGGCCAGGCAATCCTCAAGCTCTGAACTAGGTCAAAGACGTCTTTGGAGCCTTGCTACTGAGACAGCGTGAAAACAGCCCAACCTGTCCCTTGGATTACCCACTGCTCTTAGAACACAATTTCTGTTAAGATCTCCCAATGTGCTGGCTGGAAAATTACTGCTTGGCTATCGCCCATGGGAACATAACATTCTAACAATAAGCTTTCTGCTTCTGTACCCCAGCTTGCACAACCGACCTATGGGTTGACAGGTAGTGAATAAGAGAAAAATAGACCTTTGTGTTTAAGACAGAATGAGGAATGGGATTTAGGGCTTAAAAACCCTGTACCTCTACATTTTGGGATCTGCGTACCCCTGGCAGACCCAACTGGCTGATAAGAGCATGTTTCCTATAACTCACTGATTTCTGGTGGTCCGTGTGTCTTTCGGGGGCTGGCAGCCACAACACCAAGACCTCAGAGGGGACTGGCAAGAGGGAACTGTGGGATATTTGCCACTGAGTCACTCGCCCTTGGCACCAACTTGTGTTTAGTCCCTTTTTTCAGAGCTATAATGTGCTGATGAAAATGTTATGTAAGAAGGTAATTGGCAAGAGTCGATTTAATGTATACGGGACAAAAGCAAAGGCGATATGTTCCTTATGAGCTACTCTGTGGTGAAATTTTAAAAGTCTGTTGGGTCCCCAAATCACTGTTCTCGGTAAAATAAAAATAAATTACCTGTAATAACATTTTTTTCACCCTTGAGCCAAAAGAATAATTGGGACACACCCTTCAATATAAATTGTTGTCCAGAACTTAAAGATGAAAATCCTGAGGTTTCTAAATTATTGCTAACCTTGAAAGACAAAGCTGGCATTTTGCTAGTGCTTCCCTGATTTTTCACAATTGCATAATGATTGTGTGGAAAAAAAAAAAGAAGCAGCCCTGGGTCATGTCTTCTTAATTTGGTCCTGAATTTGATCCATGATCATGGTCAGGGAAGTTTTTTTTACACTATCCCTTTTATCAGAAATACAATTCATTTACCTACTTAACGTATACAATGCAATGGTTTTGAGTATATTATACAGTTGTGCAACCATCACCACAATTTTATAACATTTTCATTACCCAAAACAAGAAACCCTGTACCCTTTAGCAGTCACTCCTATTTTCACTCTTCCCCAGCCTTAGCTACCCATTAATCTATGTTTCTGTCTCTGTAGATTTGCCTTTTCTAGACATTTCATATAAACAGAATCATACAATATGTGGTCTTGTGTTTGGCTTTTTAGCAGTGTTTTCAAGTTCATCCATGTTGTAGTGTGTGTCAGTACTTCATGCCTTTTTATTGCTGAATAATATCTCGTTGTATGGATGTTCCATATTTTATTCATTCATCAGTTTATGGACATTTAAGTAGTTTCTTCTTTTTGGCTATTATGAGTATGAACATTTGTGTAAAAGTTTTTCTGTAGACATGTTTTCGATTCTCTTGTGTGAGAATTGAATTAAACCTAGCAAAATTACTGGGGCAAATGTTAACTGTCTTTAACCATTTGAAGAATACTACCAAACTTTTCCAAAGTGGTTACACCATTTTACATTCCCATCAGGACTGTATGAGGGTTCCAGTTTCTTCACACCCTAGTTATTATGTCTCTTTGATTACAGTATAGCCATCCTAGTGGGTGTGAAGTGGTATCTCATGGTGATTTTGATTTGCCTTTCTCTATTGACTAATAGTGTCGAGCATCTTTTCATGTAGTTTTTGGGGGCCATTCTTCTATCTGCTGTGGAGAAATATCTACTCAGGGCTTTTGCCCATATTTTAGTTGGGGTATTTGTCTTTTTATTGTTGAGAAGTTCTTTATTCTGGATACAAGTTTGTTAACAACATGATTTACAAATATTTTCTCCCATTCTATGAGTTGTCTTTTCACGTTTTTTGTGGTGTTCTTTATATCACAAAAGTTTTTGATTTTGATGAAGTCCATTTTATATGATTTTGATGAAGTCCATTTTCTTTTGCTGCTTTTGATTTTGATGTCGTATCTAACAAATTAAAGTAGGGAGGAGACAAGAGAACTAAAATGTTAAATCAAGCTATATTCAGAGACTGCAACATGCTGATCAGCCTTGCAGCCAGACCAGGAGGAAACCTGCCAAACCTGCAAAACCATGAAGGGCAAACAGAAAAACAGAGTCATTGAGTAGCACCCTATACAAAATAAAATTCTTCATTCCCAATGGCTAAAACCATGGAGGACCTATAGATCAAAGGCTGGGAATTACCAGCAGGCCTTTTACCCTCTATATTCTTACCTTTTCATGCTATATACTATATCCTCCCTCACTGAAAATCCATATCAAAGGAAAATGGGTAAACAAAGTCTTTAAACTATTATTCATAGGAACTAAAGAATGATATATAAACTGAATTCCCTGAATACTTGGGGTCCCTCTCAGTGTGTTTACTCTGTCTCTCTCACTGTCCTCATCTCTCTATTGTCTCTGTTCCTCTGAGTCTCAGGCTCTCTCTCTCTGCCTGAGAGGAGACCATGCTCTGGCTATGGAGTGTTACTCCTTCTCTAACAAACTTTCCTTTGGACTAACTCTGGCGTGTGTTTGAATTCTTTCTTATGCTCAGCCAAGAACCCTCTTCTCTCTCAATGCAGGACTTGAGTTACCCCCACACCCAACTCAGGGGAATTTGCCCTGTCCTGCATCAAAACCATTGAAAAAAAACCCTACCATATTATAATATTCATGGAAAAACAGGATGGAGCCTGATGTTGAGATTTAAAAAAATGAAGTTTTCAGTTTCAGCTACTCTGAAACAGAATTGGAGATACCTGGTCACAAGCTGAATAAATCCTATGACACTGTGTGCTGTTGATCGGTGTGAGGTCTTAGTGAGATGAGCCAAGAAATAGTAGCAATGTGCCCTAGAGGAAAAAACAAACAAAAAAACACTTCTAGCTCAATTTTCTCTGCAACTTGGGAGGGCTGTAAAATGGGAAGGATAATCAAAGGAAATAAATTTTTATGAAGCCATGACCATAACGTTCCTCAATAAAATTCAGATAAGTAAGCTAGAACTCACTTGACATTCAGGTTTGTTAACTATGGGAAAAGTCCATTTAATTATGTTAAAAAAAATAGCTTCTATGGGGTTAAGACTACTTCAAACACCATGAGATTAGATGAGTTATGATGGTAGCACCTTGACTAAAAATACCTGCTTAATTTCCCCTTTGGGAAA